CCCGGCCCGGGGAGCCAGAAGGTGGGTGGAAGGGAAAGCGGGGACTCGGGCCCTGACCCGGGGAGGTCGCAGGGGGGAAATGGAGACCAGAGGATCTGCACGGAGGCTGACCGGGAGTAGAGATGGTTTTCCAGGGCCTGGGTGGAATGGGAGGCCCTTGGGGCTAAGGCCGGTGCTGCTGTGCTCTGCTCTCCTACAGATGGAGATGGACGATGGGAAAGGTGGCACGGGGCTCCGTCAGTACTACCTGTCCAAGATTGAGGAGCTGCAGGTGAGCCAGTCCCGGCTACGCAGCAGATGCCCAGCCGGCCTGCCCCACAACGGCATTGCTGTGCTTCCACATGGGGCTGCGTGGCCACGTCCCTATGCCTGCACTTGCCTTGAGAGCACCCACAGCCTTTTCTGTGCTGTGGGTGCCCTGTTCTGCGGTGCGAGGTGGAAGTGGTGCACCAGGGTGGTATCTACAAGCAGGACCCAACTTTTGAGCGGTGCGGGTGTATGAGATGAGTGTCAGTTGTGCAAGCTGACAGCACCGCTGTGTGTGTGCGAGATGTTGCACAGCCCTTGGTAGTGGGGTTTGGCTGGCTGCGTCCTTCTGGGAAGGCCTGTACCCCTCCAGGTGCCTGTCCCAAGATGGAGGCCGTCGTGCCCACGCTTGGTTGATGTGAGCGCTGCATGGGACATGGAGGACTTGGCAAAGCTTTTCTCCCAACAGCTCATCGTGAACGAGAAGAGCCAGAATCTGCGTCGCCTGCAGGCACAGAGAAATGAGTTGAATGCTAAAGGTACAGCTTGGCTCCTGTCGTCTTCCTCACCCGGGGTCCTGTGGCTGGCCCTACCTGCAGGGCTGGTGGCTCCTGGCCTGGCTGCTGGCCACCGTGGCGAGTGCTGCCCCTCCGTCGTGGGCAGGGGGTCTGGGCATGGGTGCCTGTGGCTGGCTGCTGACGTCCCCCTCTCTGCAGTGCGCCTGCTGCGGGAAGAGCTGCAGCTGCTGCAGGAGCAGGGGTCCTACGTGGGAGAAGTGGTGAGAGCCATGGACAAGAAGAAAGTGCTCGTCAAGGTACGAGGCTGCGCTGTCCCAGGGGTGACCAGGGCTGGGCAGAACACAGGGGTGAGCGGGGTGGGGTCTGACAGACCCTGCCTTTGACCCCATGGGGGTTGGAGCAAGTATGAGCATGATCTCTGGGGGGGCGTAACAACTAAAAGATGTGAAGTGAGAGCTCTTCCTCCAGAGGAGCACATTGCGGCAGCTGTCCTGGACCCAAACCGTCCCCACGCTGGGGGGGGGGAG